AACGCGATAAATGTGACACAAAAATTCTTTGAAATTAGATCTTAGTTGTATTACAAGATCTTGTGTTATATTATGCTGTGATCGGCTAATTATTTTATCACGTGATTTCTGTGTTTTGTGTTTTTGTGTTTTGTTTTGTGTTTTTGTCGATCATCACGCATAATAGCCAATTTCAATAATTTCGAAAACCCCTATAATAAAAATCTTTTAATTAGTTGGCAGCGCACCCCCAGTGTCACAATGTACATTAGCCGCACTTTAGGACCTGACCTTTATCAAATTTTAGAGTTAAGTGAATCACAAAGATTTTTTCCAACTTTCATATGATGAGGAATTTCTACATAATTTAAATGGGGATATAATTTACAGCATATTACACAAAGCCGTGATAGCTTTATAAAATCTCCAATGTTGCAGATGAACGACTTTTTTACTTGGAATGAAATCGATAGGTTAATTGAAATTGTTGCAAGCTTATATCGAGATCATATTGATCTACCTCCAAAATATTCTTATAATATTGATGATCAAGGTGGTTCAGCATTATTCGATCCTCCAAAGTAAGTTAGCATTTTAGGTACAGGGTATAATGAACAACGAAAAAACCAAAGTTGATTTAGATAATGTTATTACGGTGTTGACCCGCTTGTTTACCCGATTTTCCTTGCTTTCTCAAGTCAACAAACACTTTTTTACTTTTTATTTAGTTCGTCCAATGTATAATTTATGTAGTATTTAATTATTACGATTTGCTATTGTAGTTAGTTATCGCATCAAAACCTCTATGAAGACACGAAGAAGATTGAAGGGTAAAATAAACAACTTTATTAATTAGGAATTCTACAAGACTTTTTTTTAGACTTATCATCACTAACTAGAATATTTTAATTAAATCTTTGTGAGAATCTTCTACGACTTGTTATTTTCTCTGTTTTTCTCTAGATTGAATTCCCGATCTATTTATACAAAATCGTTATTTCAATTTACTAGCAGACATAATAATTTTAACAAATAAAACTAATATAATAGAAATAATAAATAAAACAAGTATAATAAATTAAATAGATAAATAAAATAAATAAGATATGTAATACATATTTGATATGTCTGTATGTCTGCTATAGCAGACATTTGACATGCACCGCAGTTGCTGCGCCAATCGTAGCGTTGACAACGGTGATGGAACGAGTTATTATGTAGCTCCACAACTTAATATCATCAACGTGTAGAGTTAAATGCACGTAAAAAGAGACAATTAACCTTATCATCTGCTTTGCAAAAATTATAACGGGACGTTTTTAAGAACAACATGCCGAATCGAACATGCAAAACATGTTATGAAGTATCAAACTTTAAATTGCTTGGTGGATCAAATACATAAATCTGCCTCAAAAGTATGGTAAATCAACATTTAGAACTTAGTCGCCGACAAGTGCGAGTTTTTGAGGAAGCAAAATTGAGAGGTTAATTCACTTGGACAAAGATCAGGTGATTTTTATGGATAAAAATAAAATAAACTTACTTTTAATTTACTTTACTAATAACTTAATAATAAACTTTTCTACACCTTAATAAAGGATTGGCCAAATATTTGACCAGATTGACATGTAAATTAAGTTCGGCATATGTTCACAACGTTTTCTCCTTTCATCTGTAAAAAAAAGTTTCGAGAATTAAAATGCTCATACAATGTAATTGAAAAGATATTTGCTTCAATTCAATAAAGTCCGTAGATGAAAGTCCAACGTACGACTTTGAGTCCAAAATAATCGAAATTTCCTTTTTATTTAACTGAATAACCCATCTATCCATCCATCCATCAATTTGTCTATCGATTATTTGACTTTGAAACTTTCACTAATACATTCAATTACAATATACTTTCTTTCTACCTTTACAGAATCCATTTTTAGCATAAAATCACCATTTTTAATCATAATCCATGTAATTTAAATATAAATATTATAAATTCATTATTCTCGGACTGATAATTATTTGAAAGGATTTCTTTATTAAATTTTCAGAAACAGATATAAAATCATGATTCCATCACCAAACCTGATAATAATAAATGAATTATGCCAAAAAAAAAACCCTTCAATGTCATTTCTTATCAAAATTCAGAATTTACTATAAAAACATCGAATGTTACTTCTGAAATATATTATGAAATAATTAATAACTCCGAATTCTCTCCTCTCATCCTACATGATTACATATATATCTATTTAAAATTCTGATTATTATTCTAACATTCGTATTCATCATTGTAACAATGACAATGTTTTGCGAGCTAAGGCAGCGATTTCATTATCGTCATCATCGTCATCAGGTTCTTCACTCTATTTTTTTATAATTTGAAATATTTCGTAATCTTCCGCTTTAAACTCGCAGGTATATTGGAATAAGAACATTGACCGCTGCGCAACGACCATTCTTAAATAATCATCGAATAAGGGTCCATAATTTGAATGACAACCTATTGTATTTGTAATTCCATCACTATAACCCACATTTTTAGTTTGAAGGTCCATTATATTTTTGAATTAAAATATAAAACTGTCTGTATTTTTTTTTTCATTAATGTTTCGAACTCCATTCAAACGGGTTATATTCTCCAACGTACCGTTAATTTGAATTATAACGATCGTAGCCTCATTATTGTCACATTTTTGATGAAACGCTGTTGGTGTCATACCATCCTTACTGGCACGATAAATTAAATTAAAATTATAAGATAAGTTCTTGATTATAATTAAATTGTTTTTTTTATCAATCAAACTCGCAAAATACAGCAAAATGCCGAGATTTAACTAAGGTTGAATTATAAACATTCATCGGTTGTCTAGGTGGTTGTATCTCGATATTTAATTTCTTGTTTGTTGACAAATAACGTGCTAAGGAGGCTTCAAGCATATCTTTTGGTAGTAATTCTCTAAAAGGAAGTACTTTATCAAGAAAATCATCTGAAGATATATAACTAAAGGGATACATCTATGAAGAGTTCTTTCCATGATTGTAGTTTCTTCTTTGCTCCATTTTTTGACATCTTTTGGAACAGATGGATTATGAGCTTGGCCCACTTAATTGAATAATCCCAAATATTAATTTCCTCTAAACATAGATCAACCCGTTTCAAAAGTAATACCAATAAAGGAGATTTTATATTGATAAATTAAACGATGCTTCATGATCTTCACAGATTTTTCCAAGATAAAAATTCCATAAATTTGCAAGGGTCTCGTGTTGATAAATTATTTCAAGAGTTTCTATAGGATTTTGCTGTAAAAAACTCGTGATAATCATTAATTAAAATCTTCTTCAATTATGAAAACTAAAGTATAAATATTAATCACTCACATCTGCTGCTACTAAAAGTTTTAATAATTCTGCTCTTCAATTTTGTTGAGTCAATTTTTTCATAATAAAAAAATCTAAATTTAAAGAAAAAAAAATTTTGTATTATTTTCATAATTTATATAGGTTCATTCTACTCACTTACATTAGATAATTTTAAAAAAATGTGGAGAAATATTGGGTACTTTTAAAATGAATTCCCTTTTCTCAACATTTTCTTTAATTAGTTCATTACGTGACCTTATACGTGAAATATTTGAAAAAGCATGAAATTCTTTAACGCTTTCATTTTCACTGGCATGTATAATGACATCATATCCTTCGTCAAGTACGAGTAGCCTTTCATAATCATTAGAAACTTTTTGTCATTTTTTTATAGTTAGTAAAAGAATGAAAGCCTTTATACTGATTCGAAATTTTGCGCCAAGAAGCTTTTTTAACTAAATATAGATAAAACACTATCTTATATGATTAGCAAGATGCACATTGTCGATTTTAGTTTATTGAAATAAAGCTCGGAGCTTTATAAGCTACTTTTTTTGAATAATTATTATGGCCTCCATTCGTTGAGAATTAGTTATGGAAGCATATTATAGAGCATTTGTATTAACTGGTTATAACGAAGACACAGGAAAATATAATGAATGTAGGCAAGCAATTAACTCTGATGAATCTCTCACAAATGAGGAAAAATTAGAGGCAAAACGAATGTTAATTGACAATTATGATTTTCTAAAATTACTTCAAAACAAGGAACTAAAAGAGTTTGTGAAAATTGCAAAAATGAACGTTTGTCAACATCATATTGTGAGCATTGTATTCGAAATTATTTAAAAGCAAAATTTTCAGAATGGACATCCGGAAATAATGAAATTGATAATTTAATAAAGAAATGTCAGATAGAAGCAATTCAACCTTTTAGAATAATTGAGTAGATACCTTATAATAATTTACAAAATATCGAATATCTAACTAAAGGTTGATGCTCTGATGGAAGTTATAAAAAATGGGATTCTTATACGTTTTAATTAATAAGATTTGGAAGCGAAAAAGTAATACTTAAAAGATTAGAAAGTGTCGAAAGTGCTAATAGAAGTTGGTTTGAAGAGGTATGTAATTTTATGTATTAATAATTTTTTATAAAGAACAATAGATAAAAAATAATTATTAAATTCTCATTCAATAGGCCAAATCTCAATTAATATTAAGCAGTAAATATGGAAATTGTGCTTTCAGTTATGGTTTTACTCAAGATCTACAAAATAAAGATTATTTTCTTGTAATGGTTTTATTTGTTATAGATTTAAGAAAATACTTACAACTAAATCATAATCAACTTACTTGGAAACATAAAACCAACATAGTTTCAGATATAATGGTTAGAATTTAAAGCTCCATCAGGAAGGTTTTATTCATAGAGATTTACATTCAGGAAATATGTTATATTCTAAATATAATAGTTGTTGGCATATTAGTGATTTTGGATTCTGTGGCCCTGTTAATAAACCATTATAGAAATCTTCCTTATGTAACACCTGAAATCAATGTTCAGAAATGACCTGGTCATTTGACCATTTAAATGATTTGTCTATTCCTTTGTTATAATCATAAACCATTTAGCATTTGTCATTTCGTAAATGATTTAAATGACAAATTATAAATGAATAAGATCATTTAAGATCATTTAAATCATTTGTCATTTAGTCATTTGCTTTTACAAAAAATTTAGCGATAGGTAAAACAAAAAAAAAAAACAAAAAAAAAGTTGCTCTTAAAGAATCGCAAATTCTTAGTGAGATTCACAATTTTATCTCCCAATGATAAAGAATTGTTTCAAAAGATGATAGAAGAATTGTTCTGGTAGAATGATAGAGGAATCGTTCTAAAGAAATGATTAAAAGCATCATTCCTTAAGAACGATAAAAGATCGTTCTAAAGGAACGAAACAAAAAAATGATTCCTTAAGAACAATACTATATTGTTCTATCAGAATGATAAAAAAAATCATTTCTTAAGAATGATAAAAGATCGTTCTAAAGGAATAATACAAAAAATCATTCCAATAAAATGATAAATATCGTTCTAAAGGAACAATACAAAAAATCATTCTAATAGAACAATACTATATCAGTCTATCAGAACGATAATAAAAATCATTCCTTAAGAACAATACTATATCAATCTATTAGAACGATAAATATAATCAT